ATATATTTCCACTGTAAATAAATATCACCTTTTTTGTAGCCTGAGTCTTGTGTCGTTCTGGGTCTCGTTACAACTGGGTTGCCCGCACATACAACATAACCTTCCTTTATAAAAGTTTTATTATGTAGGAGAGATGGTAAATGGCTCTCAGACACTTATCATTTTGTTTCAAACAGAGGTGAAAACATCTCATTCAGTGTTACAGATAAAAACTGTGTGTCAATTCAGTTACTCAAATAAAATATATATTGTTATTCATCTCCATGGGTTCCTTATCCGTTCTTGTTTTTAGTTTTTTTACATCACTTTACAACCTAGCTGTTTTTTGTTTTATTTTATTTTAAATACCATTTTATTTTCACTTGTTAAAAAATAAAATAAAATAAAAATTCTCAATTTGTACGCATCCTTTACTGTCTATTGTTGTCCACTGTTGTCATCACTCTTTGTTAAGAAATCAGGTCTCTCTTGTAAATGAGTCCCCGAGGCTCAATGGGATTAAACTGTAGAAATAAAGATTGAATGAATAATCAAATCGTGTTGACAGACACGACTGTCAACAAGGAAGAGGGCCGGCAATGGAGGAGGGGGCGTACCAAAGAGACCATCTTATCATAAGCAAAACTTTTTTGTTCCACTTTGGCGTAAGCTGTTGGGAGAAGAATCAGTTTTGTTGTGCGTTTCCTTGACTGATGAAGCCTTCTGGATCAAAGGCGAAACATTTCAGCACAAAAAAAAAAAAGAAACTGTCCAGATGACCTGACTGAAAAATGTTGGATAAGTAAAAAACATTAAGCATTACATTTCTTTCATTTGTACATTTGTACTGTCTACATTACAACTCCATTTCAGAAAATGCAACAATTTCCACATCTCAAATCTCATAACTTTGTTCAGAATGGAACTTATTGTTTTAAGTAAGAAATTGTAATATTTATTTTTTTTAATAAGGCCATGCTGTATTGTTTCTACATGTCAAAGTTGTACAGGACCATGTTTGCCAGCATTGCATCAGTTCCTAACTTTAGAGGGTTTAAAGGAGGTACTGACATGTGATCGATGTCTTCTGGGCCTGAAAAGGGTTCTCCTGGCCAGTTCAGGAAACAGTTGAGGAAGACCAGACAGGCCATGCCGGTCCAAACCCACATGATGACCCGGAACGACACGCCCAGATGATAAATCAACTAATGGAGTACAAGTGGAGAGACAGAAAGTGAAATCATTGATCCATAAATAAGATGTTAGTCATGTTCAGCAATAAATCTTCACCATCACGTTGATCCAGACATCAATGTAGCATTGAAATATCAAACCTGTCGGCTGATTCTCTGGTTCTACTCCAAAATCCTTCTCTCCTCATGCATCCTGTTTTTCTTTACTTCAGTTTGCTGTCTAGTTCATTTCCCTCCTTTATTTCCTCTCCTTTTATTGTCAACCCTTTGATAACGTTCTACTTTTTTTACTTTTCACAATTTTCAGTTAATGTCCATCTTCTGCACATAATGTCTCCTTAAAAGAAGTGCAAGGCATAAATAGCAAATTGTATTATTTATTTAAGCCTAATCCTGATGAAGCTGTTTTTCCCAAACGCTGCTGTTCAGGTGGGCGTGGCTATTTGAAGGTGTGTGTTTGTGTGTGAGCACCTTGACTCCCAGGAAGGTGACGGCTGAGGAAGCATAGGAACCAATCATCAGCGACAAAATGGTTGATCGTAAATTCCCAAACATGTTTGGGAGCTACACACAAATAAAAACAAACAAACAAAAAAAAAAGCAGGCAGGTTAAAGAGACTAAGACAAACTTCTATCATACAGAATGGCTGTATGGACACATGCAAACATCTGTCTCGATTAAACAGCTGTGCCTCAAAATCTGCAGTTTCATTTTTATGAGGGCAATTTGCAGACACTCAGAATGCTATGAAGAGTGATTAATTAATTACAATTAATCATGAAGTCCCTCATCCCCAGAAACCATCTACAGTGCTTGAAAGTTTGTGAAGCCTTTATAATTTTCTATATTTCTGCATCAATGTGACTAACACATCATCAGCTTTTCACACAAGTCCTAAAAGCAGATCAAGAGAACCCAGTTGAACAAATGAGACTAAATTATTATACTTGGTCATTTATTTATTGAGGACACTGATCCAATATTACATGATTGTGAGTGGTAAACATATGTGAACCTCTAAGATTATCAGTTAATTTGAAGGTGAACTTAGAGTCAGGTGTTTTCAATCAATGATGATGATCAGGTGTGAATGTGCACCCTGTTTGATCTAAAGAACAGGAATGATCAAAGTCTGCTCTTCACAACATGTTTGTGGAACAAAGGAGATTTCTGAGGAGCTCAGAAAAAGAGTTGTTGATGCTCATCAAGCTGGAAAAAGTTACAAAACATCTGTAAAGAGTTTGGACTCCACCAATCCACAGTCAGACAGGTTGTGTACAAATGGAGGAAATTCAAGACCATTGATACCCTTCCTAGGAGTGGTGGACCAACAAAGATCACTCCAAGTGCAAGGTGTGGAATAGAGGACGAGGTCACAAAAGTGCTGTAATGTGGAGTTACCCAAGTGAACAGACTGAGAGGAAAACAGAACCAAACTCAAACATAATTGAAAAATGTTTATTTTACAGTGAGTGGAAAAATAAACTATTTACAAACAGGATCTGGGTCTGTGAAGACAGAGGAGGAGGATTACTTTATGACGAGGAGATGATCCAACAACTGAATATTCAAGGTCTTTGAGAGGCTTACAGTGAAAGTAGTTAGGATGGCTGATGGACAGGCTGAGGGTTTTTCTCCTTCCAGGATGATGACCAGGCAGACTGCAAAGGCAAGTGGTGGAAGGCATGTGCAGGCAGCTGAGCACCAGGAAACACAGGTAAGTTTATCCTCAGGGTTTTCTTCAATACTTCAAAATACAGGACGGGATCCAGGACATCAAGATTCTGAAAATGTGGACACAAAACAAGGTAAGTCTTTTCAATCTTTGAACACTATACAGGGCTGGAGGCATATGTACCGGCAGGTAGAACAATGCTCCAACAATGACTGGAGCTCAACTGGAGCCTTAAGCAGTCCTGGCACCAATTAGGGAAAATGGTCTCGGCTGCGGCTGCTCATCAGCGCCGCCCCTGCCTTCAGGAACCTGGTGGAAGGAAAATGACAAAACCCTACAAAAAGGACCCCAGGGTCACTTCTAAGCAGCTGAAGGCCTCTCTCACATTGGTTTATGTTCATGAGTCCACCATCAGGAGAACTTTGAACAACAATGGTGTGCATGACAGGGTTGAAGGAGAAACCACTGCGCTCCAAAAAGAACATTGCTGCACATCTGCAGTTTGATAAAGATCACGTGGACAAGTCAGAAGGCTGTTGGAAGAATGTTCTGTGACAGATGAGACCAAAATATAACTTTCTGGTTTAAATGAAAAGAGTTATGTTTGGAGAAAGGACAACAGCATTTCCCTAATTGAAACAATTTTATTTATAAAGAACCTCATGAAGTCATCACTGCTTATAGTTGTAGGGATACATGAATCAACAGAGACAGGATTTTTCATTAGACTAGCTATGGTACTGAAAAGGAACCTAGGGTTATTTTTTATTCTCATCAATTAAAGATGAATAATATAAAGTTCTAGCTTTATGGAGCACTTTTTTGTACATTAGCAGGCTATCTCTCCAAGATAAGTAAAATTATTCAGCATTAATGGAGTGCCATTTTATTTCCAGCTTTCTAGATGTCTGTTTTAAAATACGTAACTCAGAATTGAACCAAGGAGCTAATCTCCTCAGATTGATTACTTTCTTTTTCAGCGGAGCAGCTTTATAGAGTGAAGTTTGCAAAGTAGTTGTAAAATTATCAACTAGATGATCTAAGTCACTGTTCTCTGATGCATTACTCTGCAAGACAGAGGAAAACGATGGAAGAGAATCTTTAAATTTGGTTACAGTGTTATCTGATAAGCACCTGCTAAGATGAAATTTACTCTCAGTGACTGTGTAGTCATTTAATGTAAACTCAAAGGTTATTAAAAAATGGTCAGACAGAACAGGATTTTGAAGATGCATTACTAAGCTATTAATCTTGATGCTATAGGTCAGAACCAGGTCAAGGGTGTGATGATGAGTGTGAGTAGCTGTTCGGACGTCTTGGGCAAAACCAATTGACTACTAAAAGTCTGAGATAAGAAATAGTTAAGTTTTGCAAAGTGATGGAAGTTGTACATTTATTCCACTGCTGTCGAAATTGCAACCGATTAGTGTCTGAGACAGGTTTTCTAGCTGCAGCCCAAAGCTGATCTCTCCTGTGCAGAAGGTCAGCTAACTCAGGAGTAAACCAGGGACCATCTTGTCCTTTTATTCTGCACTGGCGAAAAAGCGCATGTTTATTTACAAAGTAGATGAAACTATTCTAAAAATAGTTCCAAGCCGTGTTCACGTCATCAGTTAAAAGAATATGATGCCAATCAAAATGGGACAAGTCTCAGAGGAATGCCTGCTCACAAAAACATTTCAAATCCCTTTTTCGAATTAGTTTGGGTTTAGAGTGAGGCAATTTGGCATCTCTGATAATTCTGATAACGCAATGGTCACTCATATCATTATGAAAACACCCAAACCAGGGAATTTATGGGGCATATTTGTTAAAAAGAGGTCTAAAATGGAAGATTTTTCAGGACAATGCTTATTAGGTCTGGTGGGGGTGTCAAAGATTTGGGTCAGATTAAGTGACAACATTCCTTGAATTTATCAGAGTGGGTTCTGTGTTCTCAAATCCACATTGAAATTGGATTTTTTTTTTTTTATAATCTGTTATGCTCTTAATGCCCCTTTACATGCTCCATGGATCTTGTGAGGAGAAATGTCCCTGGATCCTCTGTGCATATGTTGCTTTGGCCGTCTTTATACCAGCAGCCAGCTCTTTCCTTGTCCTTCCCAGTTCCTGTGAGTTGCCAGACCTGATGGCAGTGTCCCTGGCTTCCAGCAGGATGCGGACCTCTGCGTTCAGCCAGGGTTTCTGGTTTGGGTACCACTTCACAGTCCTGGTGGTGGTGACATTATCCACACTCCTGCTGATGTATCTGAGGACAGCAGATAAGTAATCCTCCAAATCTAGCTCCCCCTCATTTACAGCAGCCTCCCTGAAGATCTGCCAGTCTGTACGTGCAAAACAGTCCTGCAGTACAGAGTCGCTGTAGCTGACCCACACAGTGACAGTCCTGTGTGTGGATCTGTAACATCTCAGTGGGGGTGGGGGGGGGGGGGGAGAGTTAGATAGGGGCCAGTAGCATGGAGATGTGATCAGAGAAGCTGATGTGGGGGTGGGATACAGCTATGTATGCATCTCGATTGTTGGCGTAAACATGGTCAAGTGGGTTATTTCCCCATGTTGGCGGCCGTGGTGCAGTGGTAGTGGCAGCCGACCTCTGATCGGAAGGTTGGAGGTTCGAATCCCGACTTCCCACACCATGTGCCGTTGTGTCCCTGGGCAAGACACTTAACCCCGAGTTGCTCCCGGTGGGACTGGATGGCGCCTTGCATGGCAGCCTACCGCCACCGGTGTATGAATGTGCGTGTGAATGGGTGGATGGCTGGTACTGTAAAGCGCCTTGGGGCCCCTCATAGGGGGCTGGAAGGCGCTATAGAAGTAAGCTCCATTTACCATTTACCATTTACCATGTTGGAATCAATCAATCAATCAACCTTTATTTATACAGGTAAATCCCATTGAGCCTCGAGGACTCATTTACAAGAGAGACCTGATTTCAACAAAGAAAGATGACAACAATGGACAACAGCAACAACAATAAACAGTTATAAAAAGTCATACTGCAGGTTTTTTTTTATTTTTTTTTAACAAATAGGATGGCTAGAAAAGGTAACAAAAAAAAAAAAAAAAAAAATCCCAGCTAGATTCCAAGGCAAATGTAGAAAACTAAAAACAGGAACATGTCTGCATTGGACCCTGCCAGGTGTCCAACAGATTCTTAAAGACACTTAGAGAGGTCAAAGGTCGAGAGCTTCAAATCTTTTTGTAAGATATTCCAGGAAACAGGAGCGGAATAGGAGAAGGCCCTTTTGCCTAGTTCAGTCCTCATTGAGGGAACACTGCAGGTAATAATGTCCTGAGAGCGCACTCTGTAGCTGCACTCACGCAGAGACAAGTAGGAGGAGATGTATGAAGGCAACAGACCAAGAAGTGATTTAAAGATGAAAATGTACCAGTGAGAGAGTCTGCGTGAAGTTAATGATGTCCTGTTAACCAGTGAATACTGGGTGCAGTGGTGGGTACGATAATCACAGCCAGTTATGAATCTTAGTGCACCATGATAGACAACATCCAACATCTGCAGGGTTCTTATAGGAGCGTTCATGTAAATAATGTCACCGTAATCAATTGAGGGAAGGAAAGTCACAGATACAAGGCGTTTTCTAGCATTCAGGGTTAGGCAGGATTTGTTTCTGAAAAAGAAACCCAGTTTAACTTTCAGTTTCTTTATCAAGTTTTCCACATGGAGCTTAAAAGAGAGATGTGAGTCGACCAAGATACCCAAATATTTATAGGAATCAACAAACTCAATGGGGACACCATTTGAGGATAAAATCGGAGGAAGAACTGCTGGGACCAACTTCTTATTTGAAAAAAGCATCCCTTTGGTTTTGTCGGCATTTAGGACAAGTTTGAGGCGAAACAAATCAGTCTGGATGTAGTTGAATGCAG